TTGAATGCTGGCTTCACTTTCTACTAGGTGTATCACCTTGGGAAAATTACTCTACCCATGAAATAACAATGGAACCTACTTCATAGGGTTGTTATGCGGATTGAGTACAGATATAGATACATATAGATATGCAGATGACACAACTTTGCTTTCTCAAAATGAAAACAATTTGAAGCAATAACTGAGGAAAGTCAAAGACTACATACAGCCTTCATTATGGTTTACGCCTGAACATGAAGAAAACTAAAATCTTCACAGCTGGACCGATAAACATGATAAATGAAAAAAAAGTTGAAGCTGTTAACAATTTCATTCTACTTGTATCAACAGTCAACGTCCATGGAAGCAGCAATCAAGAAACCAAACGATGTATTGCATTGGGCAAATCTGCTGCAAAAGACTTCTTTAAAGTTTTAAAAAGTATAAGGTCACTTTGATGACTAAGGTGTGCCTGACCCAAGCCATGGTCTTTCCAATCACCCTTATATGCATGGGGCCCTGGTGGCACAGTGGTTAAGCATTCAGCTGCTAACCAAAAGGTCAGCAGTTTGAATCCACCAGCAGCTCCTTGGAAACCCTATGGGACGGTGTCTTACAGGGTGGCTATGAGTTGGAATTGACTGTACAGCAACGGGTTTGGTTTTTTGGTTTTTATATGCATGTGAAAGTTGGACAGTGAAAATGGAAAACAGAAGAATTGATATGCTGGAAACGTAGTGTTGGCGAAGAATATTGAATATACCATGGACTGCCAAAAGAACAAGGAATATGCCCAGAACGCTTCTTAGATGTGAGGATGATGAGACTTCGGCTCGCTTAGTTTGGACATGTCATCAGGAAAGATCAATTGCTAGAAAAGGATATCTTGTTTGGTAGGGAGTCAGCAATAACGAGGGAAACCCTCAGTGAGATGGATTGACACAATTCACAACAATGGACTCAAACATACCAGTGATTATGGAGATGGCACAGAACTGGACAATGCTTTGTTCTGTTATGCAGAGCAGACTCAAGGGCAACTAACAACAACATCTTATATCTTCCTGGCACACAAAGTGTTAAATATTAGCTATTATTATTGGCTGTTTTCTTTTTGCACCTGCCAGTCCCTTTACCTCGAATACCTCTGTCATCTTTCACCTTCTGGCTAATTCCTACTTCTCTTTCAGTTGAGGAGTCAAATCTAGAGTTTTCCCTGCCCCACCCACCCATCTGATTTGCCTCCACCGTAGACGATAGCGTCTTTGTAACTATTGTTTGTGTCTGTCACTAGACTGTGAGCTTCCTGAAGGTAGAGATAGTGCTTTCATCATTTTATGCCCAACTCCCAAGTCAGGTGCACAGTACTTACTGAATGATTGCATGGAGAGCGCCCGTATGTAATGAGACTCATTAATAAATGTTCCTAAACGTATTTCGTCTCATAAGAAACAAACCTACGCCCCAAGTATTTCCAGGGGAAGGACAGGATTAAGACCTTAGGCAGTAGCTACCAACCTCGGAAAAAAAAAGGCCCCACATTCGCAACCGAAAAAACTCCACCGTAAAGACCTCAGGCGCGGAGAACACGGAGGACAACGTTCGAGACGCAGTCTGCGTCTGCACTTGTCAGCTCTTCACTTGCGCCTGCGCTGCTAAAGGCAGCGTGACGCGCCTCAGTAGACCGTGGGGCCGCGGTCCCCGTTTTAGGATTGGGCAGTGGAGGCCAAAACGGACGGCACGGAAATGACGCCCGGGTGCTCAAACGCTATCGGCCCAGCCGCGCGGTGGCTGCTGGGTGCCGCAAGCCGTCGCTTCCTTCGCCTCTCTCCTCCCAGTTCCCGGTTCCCGCCCCCTTAGCCTCTCCGTTCCTTGGCGTGACTCGGCACTGAGAGCCCCAGGAGAAGAGGCTGCGGTCGTCACCTCCTCTGTTCAGGCCTCGGCCTTCCTGAGCCTCCTCCTTTCTCTCCCGGGTCTTCCCCTTCAGTTTCGAAGTCGGTGGCATTAAGGCCGCCCTGCAGGCTGTGAGAATGGTAGGAGTGAAGCCGGTCGGGAGCGACCCGGATTTCCAGCCGGAGCTAAGCGGCGCGGGCTCCAGACTCACCGTGGTCAAGTTCACCATGAGAGGGTGAGGCCGTGCCCGAGCCCTGTGGGTCTGCCCGTCGGTCTGCCCCTGCTTTCCTTTCCCGGTCACAGCTCCCCGCCGTCTGCTGCTTCGGAATGTCCGGCGCTGGCCGCAGGTCCACGTCGCCGCTTTCAGGGTTAGGCCTCAGCTGTCGTGTGTGAGCCCCGATTTGCGCACAAGAGGGTCACAGGCGGGCTCGGAGGCCTGGCCCCGGCCGCATTCCCCAGCCTAAGAGACACCCGCCCGCCTCTTCTGAATCCTCGGATGAGCTCTGCTTTGGGGGATGGCCCACCTCTATGCTTTCTGTCTGTGAGAGCCTCCCTTGCCGCCCCTGCTTGCGCCGGTTCCTTTCTTTCTGGGACCAGCTGTCACTTGCATTTTAAAACCCAAAACCAAACCCACTGCCTTCGAGTCGATTGCGACTTATAGCGACCCTATAGGACAAAGTAGAACTGCCCCATAGGGTTTCCAAAGCTGTAATCTTTATGGATGCAGACTGACACTTCTTTCTCCCGTGGAGCGGCTGGTAGATTCGAACTGCTGACCTTTCGGTTAGCAGCCAAGCCCTTTAACCACTGTGCCGTCAGGGCTCCTGTTGCGTCTTAGAAACTCCAAAAGCTTCATTTACTGACCTCATTGTTTCTAGTTATCATCTGCAATTTCTGTAAAGCCTTTGATTCATGTGGGGCTTATATGCATAGTGGTTAGTCCTAAGGCCCAGTTAATGCATTTTGTATCAAGCTAATGTTGAGTCAGCATCCTTTGTAATTTATATAAGGTTTTTGTCCGTTTGTTTAGTAACTTTGTAGTTTAGACTCCCCTGTATATGCGATTACATGATTGTACAAATTTTATAGTACGTATATATTTCAGGTATTGACAGGTGGCGAGACGTCTGGGTTTGACCAAACAAACTCCGTTTTTGACTTGATGATTTAGGAGGGCAGGGATCTTGAAATATGTTGACTGTCTGATAATTCTCAATATAATGTTTAGGTCATGGAGCTAGTGGATCTTCCACATTGACTGTGTAATGTGCCTGTTGGAACTAGGCATTATGAACCAAGAGTTCAGCAGTGTGTGTATTTACAGATTTCCCCTTTGGTATGTCATAGCCTAGTTATGAGGAGTAGAGGTCTCCACTTGATATACCTTGACTCCCCCTTTCTGTCCCCCCCGTTATTGACACATATACTAACTTGGGGAAATCTATTACAGGTATCACTGTATATAACATTTTCTTGTCCAAGTAACTATAATAACAAAAGGTAATATTTTGAAACTCAGAGTAAAGAACATAGGTCCTGGCACATGGTTCAGTAAATGTTGAATATTTAAGTGGCGGCATTAAGATTAGATAGTTTTAGGGGAGGGATGGATGAAGATGAGAATAAATTAGTATTTCTTTTTGGACCAGTCTTATTCAGAATTGGAAAGGAGCAGTAAATTGGATGTAATAGGGTGTAATAGATTACCCATTTAACATGTGGACTTAACATGTTTTCTAAATTTAAGTGGATAAAGATTTCATATATTTTAAGACATGTCTAAATGAAATGTCAAAATTCTGTATGTCTTCCCAGCTTTAGCAATTTTGTAATGCTTATAGTAGTGCAGTGGTGCTAACTGAAAGCTTGTTGGTTCAAACTTACGAGTCACTCCTCGGGAGGAAGATGTGGCAGTCTGCTTCCATAAAGGTGACAGTCTTGGAAACTCCATGGGGCAGTTCTGTTCTGTCCTATAGGGTTGTTATGAGTTGGAATTGACTCGATGGCAAGACATTTTGTTTTTTAATGTATATTCTTAATATAGGGGAATACCTCTACCAAAGCCATTTATGTACCTAAACCAAAGTGAAAGAGGGAAGAGATGATTTTGCCAAGGAATCTCACTTTTAGTTTATTTTTCCAATTCTGTTAAATTGGAGCCTTTACATTTTTGTCACACAATGATACAGTCTTTTTCTTACCAAAGGAGAGGTTGAGATAGTAGAGTAATAAATAAATCATTTATTGATTGAAGCAAGGAAAGTAGGGGAAACATTGCTACTAAGGAAACACTTTTCCGTTAGTAATGTGTCATTTAAGCATTAAGTATAACTGCAGACATGATTGATTAAGAGCTGTGTTATTCAATACTGGGGAAACCAGCACAACTCAAACAAGGCAAGGTCATGGAAAAAAGAAAAGAGCTGTGTTATTTATTTTCGGAAAAAAAGTAGTTTTATGGGATGAAAGTTTTCTTTGTAAAAACTTAGGTCAAATAAGTAAAGTGTTTGCATTTATAGGAATTTTAAGTTTAAAAGCACTCTTGGGAGTCCCCACGATGCCTCTCTTCTGACCTGGCTATAAGTTCGGGGTTTTCCCACTACCCCTTCCAAATGCCAACTGTAAGCTTGGGAGTCCCCAGGCTTTCCCTCTTTTCTGACCTGCTGGCTCCCACTACCTTGGGTTCGATAATTTGATAGAATGACTCAGAGAACTCATGGAGAGTGCTGTACTTAACTATTATAGCTTTATTATAAAGGGTACAAATGAAGAGATGAATAGGATGAGGCCTGGGTCAGTTCCCAGTAATGTGTGTCCATGTCCAAAAACGGGATGTGCTTCTCTCCCATTTACAAGGATATCTTTAACCAACCAGGAAGCCCATGGAGCTTCCATGTCCAGAGCCTTTATTGGGGCCTTATTTCATAGACATGATTGATAGAAATCAGTTATACTTGATGGTCTTTCTGGCTTGATTAGCCCCCACCTGAGCCAGCTTATTAGCATAAACCTTCATGTGTAGTCTGGAAGCCTCAACAAAGATACTTCAAGCACTGAAGAATTCAGTATTAGATCCCCAAACAACAATATTCAGTAAAATTCTGTAAGAAACCTCTTAGGTCAGGGTTAATGCCATCCCATTTTAGACCCAGAGCAGTTTTCTGCAGCATCTATTTCTTCACTGGATTATTTCCACCTTTTGGCTGCAGTGAACATTGGTGTAGAAGTATCTGTTTGAGTCCCTGCTTTCAGTTTTTTTGGGTATATACCTAGGAGTGGAATTGCTGCATCATATGGTAATTCTGTGTTTAACTTTTTGAGGAGTAAGTTTAACTTTATTTTAATAGTTGTAGTGTGAAAGTATACACTTGTACTTATTTGCTCTTCTGTGCTCTGTGATTTCTTTTGACTTTTGACTAAAATTCCAACCTATGATCGTTAACTAAAATTAAACAAAGTGTCTAAACAACCAGTTGCCCTTGAGTTGATTCCAACTCATGGTGAACCCATGAGTCTCTTGAGTATAACGTCTCCATGGAATTTTTAGTGGGTGATTTTTTTGGAAGTAGACTGCCAGGTCTTTCTTCCAAGGTGCCTCTGGGTAGACTCAAACCTCCAACCTTTTGGTTAGTGCATTAACCGTTTACACCACCCAGAGACTCCAAATGAAGAATCTAGATGAGGTTAAATTATAAAAGGAAACGGCTATTTGTAAGGCAACTATTATTTTAGTAAAGTTTGTTCAGCTATAAGTAGTGTTTAATACTAGCTCATATGTGATTGGTAAATAGAAAAATGATGTCAGTATAATGTGGAAGTTGTGTTGGTTCATATGCAATTTTTACTAGGTAATGAAGAGCAGGAATGAAAATAAAACCTTATGCAGGAAGGAGAAGTGAGATTGTGAGGTCTTAGATTATGTTCATTTAAAATTGATAGATAATGACCAAATGACCCTTCGAAAAGGATGTATCAATTTATACTTTCATAAATAATGTTTTAGATTTACTAATAGCTAGGAGTATTTAGTTAAACTAAACATACAGGGTTAGTCGACTGTAAATGTTTATTTCTTTATAATTGTGTCTGAGCCTATTTGAGTATTATCTATTATTAGTAGATCCAAAAATCTACTTTCAGAAGCACTGTTTAATATTTAAGAACTTAATAGTTATTTTCTTAGCTTTTTGGGGTGAGACTTAAGGATGAAAATGCTGATTAAAATGTTAAGAATGGAGAGAAAATCACAACCTGAGTTTCAGATTAAAACATTTGTTCTCATTTTATGCTTTAGGATTTGTTTTTCCTTTCCCGTTCCTGTACTTTCATTGAGATATACATAGTGCACAGCCATAAATGTACAACGTAGTGTTTACAAACTGGACATACCTGGGTAATCAGCTTCCAGACAAGATACAGAAAATTGCTAGAGCATCCAGAAGACTCCCTCATGCCCCCTTCCTGTCACTAACTCTCATAAGGGTAACCATTATCCTCATTTATAATGTTTTGCCTGTATTTGAACTTTAAATAAATGGAATCATATTGTGTATTCTTGTGATTGACTTCTTTCCTCAATATTATTTGTGAGATTCATCCATATTTTTTGCAGGAGGTTTTATATCATTTATGCTCATTGCTGGATAGTATTACGTTGTATGAGTATCCACACTTCATTTAACCTATTCTGCTGTTGATAGGGATTTGGGTAGTTTCCAGTTTGTTTGTTTTTTCCAGCTTTTGACTGTTAGAAGTATTGCTACTGTCAGTAATTTTGCACATGTCCTAAGGAGAACATATTTACACATTTCTGTTGGGTACATACCTCAGGAATGGATTTGCTAGGTCATATGGTCGGCATATCCCTAGCTTTAGCAATACTGCCGGTTTCTTTTTTTCCCCAAAGTGGTTATACCAATTTGCACTGTCACTAACAGTCTATATGAGAGTTCAGTTACTTCGCATTCTTGACTTGATACTTTCAGGTTTAAGCTGTTTTGGTAGGCATGGTTTTAATTTGCATATTCCTAGTTTCCTGGTGACTTAATGATGTAGAACACCTTTTCATGTTTACTGGCTATTTGAGTAACCACATTTGTCAAGTGACTTTTCAAGAGTTTGCCAGTTTTTCTTTTGAGTGACAGTATTCTTACTGATTAGTAGGAGTCATCTACATATTGGAGGTACACATCCTTTGTCGGATATCTTTGCAAATGCTTTTTTCCTATTCTGTGGGTTGCCTTTTCACTCTCTTAATGGTATCTTTTGATGAACCAGAGGTCTTACTGTATTACAGTTTATCATCTTTTTCCATTTTGTATCCTGTTTAAAAAATATTTGCTTACTCCAAGATTTCAGAAGTGTGTATTCTCTATATATTTCTCTAAATCCTTGTTGTTTTACCTTTCACATTTAGATCTGCAACCCATCTGGAACTGATTTTTGTATAAGGTGTGAGATAAGGGTCATGATTCATTTTTTCCCTGTATGGATATCCAGTTGACCCAGCATCTTTTTCCCACTGCACTGCTATGTCACCTTTGTCATAAACCAGGTGACCATATATGGGGTGGATCTGTCTCTAGACTCTTTATTTTTCATTGGTCAGTTTGTTTATCCTTTTACCTATATGTTCCTAATTAATAAAGCCTGATAATGGTTCTTAATATCTAGTAATGTAATTTTTTCAGCTTTAATCCTCAGAATGGCTATGGCTGCTCTTGGCATTTTCCTGTAAATTTTCGGGTAAGCTTGTTAAGTCCCACGAGAAAACCTAAGGGGAGTTTACATTGACTCTAAAGATTAAATTGAGGAAAATTGACATCTTGACAATACTGAGTTTTCCAATTCATAAGTACAGTGTGTCCTTCCATTTATTTAGATCATCTTTAATATCTGTCAGTGAGAACAATCTGGAAAATGCTATTAGATACTGAGACCTAATACAACTATAGTCATTAAGACAATGTAGTATTTATGCAGATAAATACATAAATAGCCCAATGGAACAGACTAGAGAGTCTGATGCCAAGATTATGAGTGTTTATTTTATTTTACGTTTCAATTGACGAGTGCTTTCGAGTATTAATTAGTACAGTGTCTGGTGTTATTTTACCAAGTGTCTGTTTTACCTTTCTCACAGGTGTGGACCATGTTTAAGGATTGCTCCTGCATTCAGTTCTATGAGTAATAAATATCCGCAGGCAGTTTTCTTGGAAGTGGATGTACATCAGTGTCAAGTAAGGATGAGAAGTCTTTTTTTTTTTTTTCCTTTTTAATTTATTTACGAATCAGTTTGAAATTCAACATTAATGTCATGTATCTCCTTATGCACATGGCACTTGTTTCTTTGAAGGGGAAATGTGTTGGCATGATTATTATAAATGTCATTATGGCTACTTTAGTTTAGAAGTGTGTTTCTATAGTTCGTTATCAATTGTTTCAGATTGTGTTTGTATTAATACCCTTCTGATGTAAAACTAACACATGATGTGTTAAATAGGTCACCTGACAGTTCTGTTTTACATTTCTTTGTTTATCTTTTGCACATCTTGAATTATATCTTCTATTACTGGAGCACTGGCAGAGAATTCTTGATCATAGTCTGATTTGAACTGACCAGTTAGTAGTCTTACCTTTAAAGCTGGATTCTCAGTGGAAACTTGAAAATGTTGATTTAATGTGACTGAGCCACAGAGTCGTAGGTACATTGCCCCTGATTATTTTAACAGTGACAGGTTGTATTTGCATATGTAGAAATATGAGGGAGTTGCTGTGGAAAAAGGATTTTTGGAAGGTTTCTTCCAACAAAATAGTCTTAAGTTTTGAGTAAGAAACAGCTCTGTAGTCCCCCCACCCCGCCACCTTTTTGGTGAGGGTTTGTGTTAGTTACACATTTTTGAATGTGGGAAAAATAGTGTTACATAGTTTGTAGTTAGTAGTTTGGGGTTTTGGAATAAAACCTGCATTGCACATTTACTGTTAAGTACTTACATCACATATTTTTGGACTGTACTGCTGCCCTTTATTTTAAGTATTCGTTGCCTGGTCTGAAAGTGCTTTCTTTTAGAACTGTGTTGTCCAGTATGGTAGCCACTAGCTACATGTAGTTATTGAGCACTTGAAATGTGGCAAATTCAAGTTGGAATTGTGCTATAAGTGTAAAATATACATCAGACTTTGAAGACTTAGCATGAAGGAAAAAATGTAAAATATCTCAATTTTTTATATTGATTATATGTTGAAATGATAATATTTTGGATACATTGAGTTAACTAAAAGATTATTAAAATTAATTTCACTTGTCTTTTTATTTTGGCTACTAGAAAATTTAAAATTACATACATGGCTTTTATTTGTGTCTCACCTTATAGTTCTATTGGACAGCACTATTCTAGAAGGCCAGTCATGGTTTTTTCACTTATGAGGCTTCCTGGAAAAGATATCCTTACATGGTCTTTATGCTTTTTTTCTTTAAACAATATAGTGGAACCTTTTCATAGTATTTGAATATGAAAAGTTTAAACCATGATGCTCGGTGTTATTAGCTAGTTTCCATTCAGTAGTTAGTCTTATAAAATTATGGAGCTAGGGGAAAATTTTAAAAAAGATAGTTGTCGTAATGTGTTTGGAGGCCAAAAGTCATTTTATTAAGAGTAGAAATGGGTGAAGGATTGCAGTGTGAAGAACAATGTTATCTCTTTTTCATGGAGAGATTCAGTACCGTCTTTTAGAGAGAGCTGTACTTTTCCCTAGAGGTAGTAGCCTGTATAGACAGATCTATACCCATCTTGGTTACTCCCTTTGAGAAATGGAATGTACTTATGAGAGTGCTTGTCTAGTGTTGTAAAGCATAGTTTTGGAATGGGAAGCTAATTATTCTACTGGATGAACCACTACAGCTGATAAAAATGCAGGGCTGTTTTTCAGTGTGGGTGCAAGGGTAGAATAGCTACATCCGTTGGGACCTCTCTTAGGAGTGGGTCTGCTTCTTCTTAAATTTCAATGGGGAATAAACTATTTTACATGTTTTTAGTTCATGCTTGTGATATTTAACTTCCATAAAGATATAGAATGTATATTTAAAGTGGTTTACTATTTTAATTCATAACGCTGTCTAACATGCCGATTCTAGGGAACAGCTGCCACCAACAATATATCAGCAACACCTACATTTTTGTTTTTTCGAAACAAAGTGAGAATTGATCAGTATCAAGGAGCAGATGCTGTGGGATTAGAAGAAAAAATTAAGCAGCACTTAGAAAATGACCCTGGAAGCAATGAGGACACAGATATTCCAAAAGGCTACGTACGTAGACTTATAATTGAAATCATCGTGAAGTATTTTGCATTTATCATTATTTGGGTAAAATGAAATCGACTAAAACACTCTTCATACTGTAGAACTATGTTCTCATCTTTTATCTTTTACTAGTTCAGCATACTTTCAATTAAGAATTTTAAAAGTAAATTCATTAGCTGATTATTGGGTTTTGTGTGTGTGTGGTATAACTTGTTTTTTTAATCAGTTTTTTTTTTTTTAAATCTATTTTAGCAGGCATATTTAAATACTTGTTTTACACCTTTTTAAGAAAATGAAGAAATATGCCTTGGAAAATTTTTCCACTTTTTGACAATTGTGTAAAATGACTTGTAAATTTTAATGTATGACCATTATATGTAAACTCCCTTTGCTGCCACTTTTTATTGTTTCCTGTATCCTTTTAAATGTATCTCTTCTTTTCTGGCTCTATTAAAAAACATTCTAGTTATTGATTTTATTTTAGAACCAAATATGAGTTTAGTTGGATGTATACATTTAAAGAATAGTTTTTGAAAACTATATGTGGATAGCTTGTAATGCAACATCTTTAGCATTCAGAAGCTATTCAGGAAGGAAATAAAATTCAAAAGTAGTGTTTCATGGTAGCAGATTTATTTATGCAAATTGGAATATCCATACTAAAATAAATATAATTTTTTTGTCATAAGATTGTTGTATTAGCAGATCAAAGAATGAAATTTTAAAAAGTAAGTGTTGCCTCCAACAAAAAAGTTAAAGCTAATATATTAAAGCATTTATATGAAATATATTGAAGCAGATATGTGCCATGGGGCTACAAGTCCTTTCTGTAAGTCCTTCAAATTCATACTGAATAAGGAGAAATTGTAGTCAGGTAAATATGAGAGATTCTTTGTTTGAAGGGGGTCAAAAAGTATCTTTAGCTTGTGATACTGGCATTAATTATTTTAAGTTAGGGAGGTACAATTAAAATTTATTTAAAATCGAACTGTTATGTAATAATTTGAAATTCTAATGTCTGGTTAGAAAGTATGAATGTGTTGTATCAGTCAGGGTTGTGACACCTTTTGGAAAATTTTGGAAATCATTTAACTTGTAAACTGCTGTGTTTACATCTTTGTATTTTTTTTCCTTTATTACTAAGGGTGTTTGCATGAAAAAGTCTTATGAGTGCAACCGTCTTGCTGCTTAGCCACAGGGATACTTCCTTACACATCAGCTAAGTGTGCTATTAGTGTTTTGGCCTCAGGTAGGAAATAAGCAGGAAAAAATGAAGTTTTAAGAAATAAAAATTCAGTTTTCATGCAAAGTTATGAATAAAATGTGAAAAGCTATTAAAAACATTTTTTCCATCAGGTGTCAAGACATTAAAAATTTTGAACTATTTGGGCCTTACAGTGTTATTAAATATTTAAAACTGGTCATGTGTTCCCAAGAACATCATTGGTCTCACAGCACAAATAGAGACTTAATAGGAATAAGAGTCACTGACTGAAAACCTGTAACTTAAATAGATCTAGTTATAATCATTACAAAAATGTATTGACAGTTTTTTATAAGAATTTGGATTTCTTGGAATAAAGAATGTCTGTCATGGTATAATACCCAGAGGCTGTACAATTATTGATTTTACCCATCCTATAGTTTTGAAATTTCTGATATGATCGAAGGCAGAGTGAGAGGGTATGAAGAATTAAAAAAAAAATTTCCTAAGACTGAATAATTTTAATTCACTTTAATTTAAAAGGAGAACTACACATTTCTTTTAGGATGGATTTGAGGCATTGCAAAAGATGAAAAAAGGGGTAAGAATCATAATAGATTCTAATTCAGAAGCAAGAGAGTGTTTTTGTGAACAAAATGTGACTTTTAGTTTTTAAAAATCATATTGAAGTTTGGAAAAAATTAGAACGTTGAGTCTTTCCCCTCCACATTTGCTAAGAGTAAATAGTACATAGCGTAGCTTCCGATAGCCTGCCTCGTGCCCTCTAAGTCAGGTCTTTCTCTCTTGAGAAGTTTGAATGCTAGCACTCTTGAATCAAACTTGGATTTGTATATATTCTGAATCTTGAGACTTGATGGTATATTTCAGTATTGTGGCCTCTGAACTATTAAGTTCCAGTATACAGATTTGTCATCCTTCATCAAAGTAAAATCAAACTTTAGAGAGCCCTGATTTATGTAGGAAGTTGCCAAACCTTTGTTTAACCCAAAACTTGAAGCATGAAAAGCTTTTCTAACTTTCTTGTGTGTCTAGTATTGGTTTTTACCCCTTGTTACAAAAAAGGTGAAACTTACAAAAAGTCAACAGAGAACAACAAATACCAGTATAAACACCAGTATACCCTTCACATATGTTCATCATTTTTAATATTTTGCGATTTTTGCTGTATTTCATTATCTAGCTATTTTTAACTTTGCAGGATCATTTAAAAGTAAACTATAGACATAAGTTATAGTTCATCTCTAACTATTTCAGCATTTAGTTCCTAAGAACAAGAACATTCTTCTACATAACCATGATACCATTATCATACCTAAGAAAACAAATACCCGTACAATATCTGTAATATACATACTGAACACCCCCCCCCAAAAAAAAAAAACCAAACTCATTGCCATTGAGTCAGTTCCAACTGATAGCAACCCTATAGGACAGAGTAGATCTGCCCCATAGGGTTTCCAAGGCTGACATCTTTATGGAAGCTGACTGCCACATCTTTCTCCCTTTTAGCAGCTGCTGAGGTTGAAGCACCGAACTTTTGTTTAGCAGCTGAGTGCTTAACACTGTGCCTCCAGGGGGAAAGTAAAATTTCGTTAATTATCCCCAAAGTGTCTTTATAACTGCTTTTCTCTCCTCTAGGATCGAATCAAGGATTATGCATTGCATTTAAGTTGTCAATTCTCTTTAGTCTTCTTTAGTCTAGAAACTTTTCCCCACCCCACCCCCTTTTTTCCTTTCATGACTGCCTTCTTTGAAAGCTGAGACTAGTACCTGTCTAATAATATGGTAGCCACATACCATTGGTATACCATTGTGAATGCTATTAAGCCTTCACAATGTGGCAAGTGCAGCTGAGGAAATGACTTTTAATTTTATTTAATTTTAAATTGCCGTATGTGGCTAGTGAGCCATATTGCATAGTACAGGTCTAGATCTTCCGTCTTGTAGACTGTCCTACAATCTGCATTTGTCTGATTGTTTTTTCATGATTGTTTCCTCATTATTGGCAAGTTGATCACGTAGGTAATGGTGTTTATTTCCCATTTCATACTTTCAGAAGCATATAATGTCAGATTTTCTCAGTGTTTTTTTTTTAATTATGATTTAATGCAAGTGTTTAAATGTATTACTTGTTCAGTGTGTCTCACAATATATATAATAATTATTCTGAATAATTCATCCATTTAGTTTAGTTTCATCATTAAGGTATTGGAAGTATGACTGCAGTGTTGTCTTCATTCCTGGGATCTCAACCTAGATATGATATCTGAGTAGGGTAGAAGTAGGACATATAAACATTTAAAAGACCTTGTCATAACTACCCTTTCAAGGCAATTGTTTTCATGAAATTCAGGAATACTACTACTATAGTGGAACTTTGCTCTATCGCCCTCCCTTTTTCCCTCTCCCCTTTTTTGTATTGGCTACTCTGTGATAACCTGACTAATAAATACATTTAGTATAACATTTTGACTTTGAAAGCATTTGGGCCTTCCATGAATAATCAGGGGTCTATACTAATGAGTTATTACCAGTTTGGTATTTATTTATATGTATAAGAAGTTTTGGAACTATATACACATGCTTTTGTGTCCTCTGAATAAAAGAGATAGTGAAGATCCTTTGTGATAGAAAGATGGACATACAACTGAAGATTAATACTTGTCAACTTTCAGAATGGTCCTTGGTTAATAGATGAAATGGACACTTTTCTAGAAAACTCAGTTTCCCAATATCAACTCCATGTGAAGCAGAATGCCTAAACAGACCAGTCACTACAGAGGAAATAGGGAAGATAGTAAAAAGCCACTCTGTTAACAGATGACTTCACAGGGAAATTCTACCAAATCTTAAAGATAGAGAATCCCAGTGTTACTGCAACTACTTAAAAACAAACAAACAAAAAAAAACAAACCATTGTTATCAAGTCGATTCTGACTCATAGTGACCCTATAGGACAGAGTAGAACTGCCCTGTAGGGTTTCCAAGGCTGTAATTTTTACAGAAACAGACTGCCACATCTTTCTCCTGCAAAGTTGCTGGTGGGTTCAAACCATCGTCCTTTTGGTTAGCAGCCAAGCGCTTAACCACTGTGCCACCAGGGCTCTTTTGCAACTACTTAAGAGCATATAAAAAAGAGGGGAAACTTCCAGATTTGTTTTTGAAGTAAGTATGACATTGATCCCAGAATCTGATAAGGTTTGCATCAAAAAAGAAAGCTATATATCAGTTTCAGTTATGAATATTGGTGTGCAAATCTTAAATAAAATTTCAGTAAACAGAATCCAGCAACACATTAAGAAAAAACTGGAAATTGGGTTTATTCCAAGCCTGCAAGAGTTGTTTAATATTAGGAACTCCATTTATATAATCTGTCATGTTAATAGAGCTAAGGAGAAAATTCATGATTTCCAAATATGCAGAAAAGGCACTAGACAAAATTCAGTATCTGTTTATTCTTAAAGCATTTGTATTAGTTTCCTAGGGCTGCCATAACAAATTACCGTAAGCTTTGTGATAAAACAACTGTTTATTCTCTCTCAGTTCTGGTGGCCAGAAATCCAAAATCAAGGTGATGGCAGGCTGAGTTCCTTCTGGAGACTATAAGGGAGAATCCATTCCATGCCTGTCTCCTAGTTTTTGGTGACTCCTGGCAGTCCTTGGACTCTTTGGCCAAGGAGTGATGCAGGATTGGTGCAACAATCCTGCATCACTCCCAATCTCTGCATCTTCACATGGGCTTCCCCGCTGTGTCTCTGTGTGTCAGATCTCCCTCTTCTTTTTCTTATAAATGACACCAGTCGTTAGATTTAGACTCCACTGTATAAATCCAAGATGATCTTATCTCGAAATCCTTGATTATATTTGCAGACCCTTATTTCAAATAAGGTCACATTCTCAAGTTCCAGGTAGACGTGTCTTTTGGAGGGGCCACTGTTCAGCCCAGTACAACATTCAGTAAAATACAGAATATGTTAAATGATATCACAAGGAAGCAATCAGCAAAATCCAGGATATAAAAAAATCTGCAGGTTAAATGACTACAGATTAAAAGAGATTGCAGAAACATTAACTAAATTCAATGTGTACCTTTTTTAGAGCCTTATTACGAGTCTAGAAATTCAGCTGTAAAATATTTATGAGACAATTGAGGAAATATGAACATTGAGAATTTTGATGATATTACAGTATTGTTGTGACATTGATACTGAGGATCTGTTTTTTTAAAAAGTCCTTATTAGAAATGCACACTAAAATGTTTATCAGTGAAATAGAGAGATATCTGAAATTTGCTTCAAAATAATTGAGAGTTTGAGCAAGAGTTAGGGAGTGGTTGGTTGGTAAAGATGAAACAAAAGTGGTCATGTTGGTGTTGTTGTTAGGTACCATTGAGTCAGTTCCGACTCATAGCGACCCTGTGTACAACAAAGCAAAACACTGCCCAGTCCTGCGCTATCCTCACAATTGTTTTTATGCTTCAGCCCATTGTTGCAGCTACTGTGTCAGTCCATCTGGTTGAGGGTCTTCCTCTTTTTTGCTGATCCTCTACTTTACCAAGCATGATGTCCCTGTCCAGGGACTGATCACTCCAAAGTTAAGTGAACATGAGTTGATGATTATTGTAGCTGAAGTGGGTACATGGGGCTTGCTTTATTATTCTGTTTTTGTACATTTGAAATTTTCCATACTAAAAATATTTCTAAGTCCTTATTTACTACTCATCTTAAATATAAAATCTTAATGAAAATAAGTTTAAAGAGTCCATGGCCAGTATAAGAGGAAGGTAGGCTTTCTTTGCATTCTACAGAAATTTTAACTTACATGTTTTCCAGTGTGAAAAATCATTTTTTTTAAAGTAAAAATCGGTGTGTCATAATCTTAGTGTCAAAGAAATTGTTTCTGATATCCTTACCAAGTAGACTAAATTTAGGTTGAGGCTTAATAAGTAGTGGTAGATCTCACCAGAAACTCAAATGAAAATACTGTTATAAAAGTTTTAGTAATTATTTTAGAAGACATAGAAGTTATCTTTAAAATTGCTTCCTCTTGGGATAATCACACAGACTTAAATTTCTTATCGCGATTTTATGCCAAATGAAAATTCTTGCCTGAAGTCTTGATTTAATTTTTTCAGATGGATTTAATGCCTTTTATTAACAAAGCTGGCTGTGAGTGTCTTAATGAAAGTGATGAACATGGATTTGACAACTGTTTACGAAAAGACTTGACCTTCTTGGAATCTGACTGTGATGAGCAGGTAATAGAATGCTCAAGGCTTGTGAGGATTATAAATCTTTATGCGTCTCTTATAACTTTGTTATGGTCCCATCTCACTGTTTTGTGTGTCTCCTTCCCAGATGATCACTTCTTCCTTTCCTTTTTATAACCTTCAATTTCTTTAACCCCTTGTCCTTTGACTGTTCGGACCTATCTGCTTTCTTTCTTCTAGCTGCCAGGTGCAATAGGGAGAATTGCAGAACTCTTGAATTGGCCTCACTGCTGAGATGAGCCTTCAGCCACTCTTCAGTCCTTCTGCTCAACCTTGGCCTGCCTTCCATACTTTTTAGCCACTTAGATGAGTTTGTCGCTGATGAAAATTAGGCATTAGATGAGCACTTCCTACACATCTAGCTCCTCACTCCCACATAGAGTGTCAGCAAATAAATTGAAGGCTAGTCTCTCTTTTGTTGTTGTTGAGAATATACACAGCGTAATATATACCAATTCAGCAGTTTCTACATGTACAATTTAGTGACATTGATTATGTTTTTCACATTGTGCGTCTATTCTCACCCTCCTTTTCTGAGTTATTCCTCCCCCATTAACATAAACTCACTGCCCCATAAGGTTCCTGTCTAATCTTTCGAGTTGCTGTTGTCGCTTTGATCCCATATTAAAAAAAAAAAAACCCAAACCCGTTGCCATTGAGTCGGTTCCAACTCATAGCAACCCCATAGGACAGAGTAGAACTGCCCCATAGGGTTTCCAAGATGTGGCTGGTGGATTCGAATTGCCAGCGTTTTGGTTAGCAGCCAAACGCTTAACCACTGCGCCACCAAGGCTCTTGATCCCATATGGTAGTTCTTAAAAGAGCATAATGGTCAAGGCAGACATTTTTTACTAGTTAAGCTAGACTATTGTTTGGTTTTTTAGACTTTAGAGGATATATTTGGTTTAAGATGTAAGGATTTTCTTGGGGCAGTAGTTTCAGGGGTTCATCCAGCCTTCATGGCTTCAGAAAGTGTGGAGTCCATGAGAATTTGAAATTCTGTTCGCATTTTGCCCCTTTTGATCAGGATTCTTCTATAGAATCTTTGATCAAAATGTTCAATAATGGTAGCTGGGCACCATCCAGTTCTTCTGGTTTCCTTGCAAAGGAGGCAGTTGTTCATGGAGGCAATTAGCCATACATTCCATGTCCTCCTCCTGTTCCTGACTCTCCTCTTTCCTCTGTTGCTCCAAGTGAATAGAGACAAATTGTTGTGCCTTGAATGGCCAATAGCAAGCATTTAAGACCCTAGGCACTATGCAATGAACTAGAAGGTTCTAAACGAACTAGGAAGCACTAAATACATTATTAGGCCAATTAATTGGGATGTCTCATGAAACCATGACCCTAAACCTCCAAACCAAGGAACTGAATCCCATGAGGTTTTTGGTTGTACATAAGCAGCCTCAGCTGCTACTCTTTAATTTTTTTGTCGTTATAAGTGTATCTATCACACAACTTATGCTAATTCAGCTTTTTATAGGTGTACAATTAAGGCTGGTCTCTTTGTATAACCTACACCTTGTCTCCAGTTGTCAGATGACGTGGATAGATGTTTGACAGATAAATCATCCTATAAAATGTTAAGCCATATGCAAAAGTATGTAGTTTAAATTTTAATTTAGTGATTTCATATGATTTTTTGGGAAGCAGATTCCTTTCAATTTATGGGTCATAGGACCTTAAATTCTTACAACTTAATTTTAGTTAATTACTCCATGAAACTTTTTTGTTGCCATTTGTTTAATGTGATAGATATTCCTCAAATGTCAGTCTAATCAAGTTACTTTCAACTTTACTGATTTTCCATATTATATTTGTTTTGTTAAATGAATTAGATTTTTTTCAGCCTCTGTTCATTTTAATTCTGCTTAGGCATTGTGTATATTCAAGGTGTTCAAGAGAACTTTTTAAATGAAGCTATTATTGTCTTGGCAGCTACTTATTACCGTGGCATTCAATCAACCTGTTAAGCTTTATTCCATGAAATTTCAAGGGCCAGATAATGGTGAGTAAAGGGCAGCTTTTCTTTAAACTAAATTCCTGTTTTATAGACCTGTTAGCACATATTTAAAACTCTTCAATAAATAGAGGTAGATATACCTTATTTTGTGAAAGAGTAAAATGATAACATCTTAAATTGTTTTTCGAACAAGCCAAGGAAATAAATGAATGGACAAATGATGTGAGATCATCTAGGGGTGAAAGGAAGAAAAAAGAGGGAACTTTTACCTTATTCCATTTCTAGAATTTTTTATTTTAGAGTTCAAGTTTCTTCCTAATTTGAAAATTAGTGAACCCTTTCTTCCAACTACTATTCTAAAACTCTAGGTTCGAAACAACCCTTTAATGGAATCAGAACTGGGAGAGATTTATTTCAGATTCCTTCTATTATCAGTGATAAAACTGAGGGTTTTAACTTCTGTTTGTGCTCAGTTAATGGTTTCGTCTTTATGTCAGTGCATGTCATGATGTTGTAAACATGATTGTATAGACTTGGAATTTCTCTTTTGTAAAACAAAGAACTCTATTTACATCTTCTCACCTTTTCTTTCTGTTTCTGTTGAGGGTTTTTTTGGGGGGAGAGCTAGTTGTTTTGTTTTTGTTTCTGGTTGACTAGGAGACTAGCGAGGGCCTAATTGTTAGATGGCATTACCTTCTCATTTATTACTGTAAAATGTTCATATATTGATAATATTTCATTAGTGTAATTGTACCTTTGTTCTGAAAATATAAAATATTTTTAAAAGCAGATGCTGTGGAAATGAATAAGTAGTGTGAATTTCTTAATATTCCTTAATCATCTACAAAATACAGGTCTTAGATTGTACTCTGAAGTTAAAGGGACTAAGACATTGTATAAATGTGGTCTTACCCCTGAGCACATCTTTTCTCTACAATGAGATTTGGCAATTTGTATAATTCCCTTTTAGATAAATGCTGTCACTGATAATGCTTTTCTCCTAAACAACAAAATGTAGCAATCATTGGCAACTGTAAGACCTAACTCAAATATTATTTCTCTCATGAAACTTATGTTTACTTCCATATGCTGGCATAATCTACTGCCACCTTCTGTATACCGCCATACCAGTAGTATTACATTTATCTTGGTATCTCTTTTGTAGTTGACGGCAGGAACTGTGTGTTTGTGTTTTAATGTAGTATTTAGTATAGTGCTAGCTAGGTCTAGAAGGTACCAGTAAGTGTCTATTGAAAAAAAAGAATGGCTGTCACAATACTCAGATTTTCTTACAAGTCCTAAACATGGAGGCCTGTGAAGGTGTTTCTGTGTAGGTGTATGCATATTTGTGTGCATGTGTAGTGTGTCGTGTAGATAAAGGGAAGAAAGCATTGTATGTTTGTGGTTTTTAGCATTTCATTTTATTCTACCGTTTTATAGGTCAGGGTCCTAAATATGTAAAAATTTTTATCAATCTACCCCGATCTATGGATTTTGAGGAGGCAGAAAGAAGTGAACCAACTCAAGCTCTGGAACTAACAGAGGATGATATTAAAGAAGATGGTATTGTCCCACTTCGTTATGTTAAGTTTCAGAATGTTAACAGTGTAACTGTAAGTAGTATTTCATTTAGATATGTTTGAAGGGTTTTTGGGTAACAATACTATCTTGAGTATCCTAGGTGATTATAAATAATCCTTTATAGTAGTTATTTGTCTAGTCAGTTTGAAATGAGTAAAAATGTATAATTGACTAATTAAATTTTCTTTTTAATTTATCAGTGTACCCTAAAGAGGAAGGACGGGTTGATTTTTTTAAAGAATTTGTTAATTTTTCAGTTTATTTTATATATATGATGCTGTTGTTAGGTGGTGTCAAGTCCATTTTGACTCATAGCAGCTCCGTGTGACAGAGAACTGCCCCATAAGGTTTTCGTGGCTGTAATCTTTACAGAAGCAGATTGCCAGGTCTTTTCTCCTGTGAAACTGCTGGGTGGGTTCAAACTGCTAACCTTTTGGTTGGCAGCTGAGTACTTAACTGTTTGCATCACCAGGGCTCCGTGTGTGTGTGTGTGTGTGTGTGTGTGCGCGCGCGCGCGCGCGCACGCACGTGTGTATACGTATATATATGTATATGGCAACTTTTGTTAAAAGTTTATTCTAGAATATTTATACTTAAACTGAAGATATTTGTGGTTTATCCTTTATACCTGATGATATGTGGTGATGCATTTGTGAAGTCCTATTTACTTTTTTGTAGCCCTGGTGGCTCAGTGGTTAAGAGCTCAGCTGCTAACCAAAAGGTTGGCAGTTCGAATCC